GAAGGACCAAAACAAGAAGTGTAAGATGTCTATTACCTGTCAAAAATAAAGATTCAAATGCAGAAGAGTCTCCTCATGTTTGTGTTTTAAAGATTATTTTTTGTGAAATATTCTAGCTAGAAAAACGTTGCTTCTTACTTACTGTAGCTATACAGTAAATCACTGCAGATATTTTAATTGATACACAAACATATGTATTACATTGAATTTTTAAAGAATAAATGCACCTAAAGTACAAGCACAAAGTTAACTTAATCTGCTGTAATGGTTTGTTTTAATCTTAAATGAAAGTTTGTGACTTTTTCTAAAAGCAGGTTAAAACGATCATAAAAACGTCTGAAACACATTTATAGCCCTTGTGTTTAAACTAGAACTGTGAAAGCAGATCCGACCACACTACAGTGTGTGAATGAGCCCAGCAAAGTTGTCATGCCATTAAAAATCAGTTCTTTAAGCATATCTGCTTCACGGTATGTGGAAATGACATTTCATTGACACCAAATAAAAATAAGTATTAGTCTAGTTAAATACCTTTTCATTCTCCTTTCATTACTTGGGACTGAATTTAAAGTGTTTCATTGTTAATTTTTACCATAATTCCAAACATGTTTTTGTGTATACCACACCTGTCAAATCAATAAACACCTCATTTTTCCACCAGTGGAACAAAGGGGTTCATTTTTTGTTCTGGTTTACCTCTAATCTCAATTTTAACATGTGGAGCTTTAAAGAAAAGCAATAGAAGATAACTATTAAAACAAGACAGAACTAAAACTTTTATTTGGGGGGTATCACACAGGTGTTCTTGAAAATGTTCCTGCTCCTGTTTAAAAATGGAAACTTTCACATTTCACTACAGAAGAACTCACTGACTACTTCAGGCAGCTTCAAGTCTTTTCAAGTAAATGTAGTTGTCTTTAACATTTTTAGGTTTAATATTAAGAGCTTTAAGAATTAATAGTTTCCAAAATAAATAATGCAGAACTTTATGAAGGAAATATATTGCAATTATGCAACTATATTTAACAACTATAATATCGATGATATCTGTTTGTGTTTGGAAACAATGTGAGTGTCTATGGTAAAAAAAAAATATTTTGGAATTCTGGAATTGTGCCTTCAAAAACATATCGGCACCAAAATGTACCTGTGTTTCCTACGTTTTTTTCAGTCTTCAGGCAAGTAAAGGCAAGTTTTAGAATCTAGTTATAACTTTGAAACGCTATAGTTACAATTTGTAAGATAGCACACTTTACTTTATTGCTTTGGACTGTCTATTCCTGCTTTTAAGGCAGCCTGAAATGTCAGATTCTGAGTCACCTGACTGTTGGAACCCCACTGATGAGGCAGAAGATTAATGAGTGAACTTAAGGAACCTAATCAGGTAGTTCTACCAGGGTAGTGGACCCCTTATAAATTAATTCAGACAAGGGAGTTTTTGGATCATTTGGAGCCTGTTCAGCAGACATTATGCTACATTATATGATGCCTCCTGCCATTTCAGAAATGAAAAAGTCATGAGGGTACTCCCTATCTGTACACAGTCAATACTAGAATATATGGTCCTTGTGAATAAGGCTGAATTAGCACATTTGTTCTTGTACCACAATCAATCCCTTGGAATGAAGGAATGAAGCAGGATTTGAAATCAATGTGATTACAAACTTTACAAACTTTTGTTAGAAGATTTTAGATAGAAAACCTGTTGTCTAGAAAATTCTCTAGTCCCGCAGAACAGTTCTTAAGCAACTTTAAGAAATTTAATATGGAAAACCAACAAAAAGACATGTTCACAGTGAATGCACTTAATTATACTTTGCATAGGATGAGTTCTGTCTACTTTGTGATGCTTACTTTGTGTATTGCTGTTTAACATGCACACCGTTTTCCAAATAGCACTACTCACATGAATGAACTACAGTATATCAGTTTTGCAAGTTGCAGAATATATTTAATATAATAGCTAGTGTATTATAGTGAACAAATGTTTAATCTTAACTTGAAGACTGCATTGGAATGCTTTCCTGTTGCATTAGGAGTTCAATGGTTTTTTTTAAATTACAATGCATACAATAGCAAAGGAATTGAGACAGGCCTTAGTTTGACCCTTCTATCCATCTAGTGCTTAATGTCCCTGATATGGAATCTCATGGCGAGCTGTCTCTATGCTTTTCTTGTGGAAATTGTAAGAACAAACCCCCTTGAATGGACTGCAGTTAAACATTCACAAGGAAATGCCAGTGGTACTTTAAATGGTGTTTGTAATGGTTTATGACTCAATTAGACAAAGCAGCAAAAGTTGAATACCACATTTATCTACATAGGAAGCCTAATAACTAACCATGCTGTCATGTATTTACTTTTATCATGTTAGGGCTTATAAAACTCCTTTATTAATGATGGTGTTTTATCTTACAAAGGTGAAAGTCATACCCATCACCACATAATGTCCAGATCATGCTGATATCCAAACTGACATTTCTTGATCTAAACTAACACGTACAATGTTTTTTTTTATTTTACTTTGGAATTATTTTTCTAGGTATATTAAAATGGCTAAACCTTTTGTCAACTGGGAACTGTGCTATCTGTGTACATAGCTAGAAAAAGGGGTTTTTATGACCAAACAAAATAATGTAGAATGTTAGTCCTTTAATTCCAGGGTGAATCACAATCACTATTGCAATACATTTAAATATATAAAAGAATGAACAATTAAAGGAATTATTCAAGTAATTAAAGGAGAAAGATACATTTTGAAACAAAATCGCATTTTGATGGTGTTTTTTTAATTTGTATTAATATATACAAATATATTGTAAAATACTTTATTTTTGTCAGGTGATAATGGGGAAAAAAATATCAGTTTAAAAAAGCAGTTATGAAATTGTAAATCAAAACAATGTTCATTGTGGCTTTCCTTCCTGTAACCATTGGTATCTAATTTTGTAGCACAATAAAAGGATCAAAGATATTGTTCTCTATGGACATTTTTCAATAAAGGAATTGCAATTAAATATGGTGAACATTTATCTCTGACAATAACACAATGTAGAATGTACTTCATTAGAGTAACAGTTCATCACCTTTGCAGTTGATAGATTTATTGCTATACTGGCTTGAAAGCGTGGTAAAAAAATACAGTTATTAAATCTCTGAAGAACAAAGCCAAGGGACTATTAACTCACATCAATTTTCCTTTAATATATAGACAGACCAACAGCAAGCTCATAATAACTTGTTTTGGGGTTAAGCTGACTTAAAGTGATGTTGTACTGTTTCATTAAAGAATCTCTTTCTATTGTTTTGTACTCAAAGTGAAAGATTTTTAAAATAATTTTAGGAAGATCCTGTTTTGATGCATTAAGGCTCCATAATCATTTTTAGTTGTCATCCATCCATTTTCTTAATCTAGTTCAGGGTCATTCAAGGAGCCAATGCCTATCTTGCAAGCAATGGGTGCAAAGCAGGATACACCCTGGATGGGACACCTGCCTATCAAAAGGGAGACACAAACATGCACACACTCACACCAGGGCCAGTTTTTCCAGAAGCCAATTAACCTAACTATGTCTTTGGGAACCAGAGCTCCCAGAGGAAACCCACATGAACATGGGGACAACATACAAACTCCTCTCAGATAGCACCCCAGGAATTGAAAACAGGGCCACAGGAACGCATTAAAATAGGAAAATCATTAGTGTGTGTCAGTGGTCTTTTGAAAGTCCTTTTATCAGTGATAAAGAACAAAACAGAAGTAGAAAAATACTGAGCTACTGAAAGGCCTGAGACGATGATTGAGGACTTGGTTTTTAAAATTCATTTCCCTCGAAAAAAGCAACATGAGAGTGGCAGAGAAGGTTCAATCCTTTCAATCTCTCTTCACCATTTCACACAGCTGAGATAGCTCTATAGAATAGGATATCTAATATCACAACAACCTATGAATTACTAAAGAGCATTTCAGAACCTAACCAAAGATTCCTTTTCAGATTAATTATTAACGGATGTGTTTTTTTTCTGTTTAATGAAAATAAGCCTCTATTAAAGGAGAATCTGACCAGGGATTCTTTGGTAAAAGGGTATTCTGCTTGTTTAAAAACTTTACTACAGTATGTCAGAGGTTGCTGTACTGATTCACTATACATTCACTAAAAATAGGGTGAATAAATATAATTATAGTGAATAAATTGAAAGAGTGTGAATATTGGTGATTAGTGAAAATACATTTAAAGTATTAAAATAAAAAGTAAATTAAGATTACTTTAACAATATATTAGTGGGTACAATATGTGTTCTGTCATTTTAGACAAAGGCATTATGAGTGTGATAAAGAATAACACACAAAAGTCCATACTACTCTTCCTGTAGTAGTTAATTAGCAGTAATCTGTCTCTAGTCTCCAACAATTGAAAGATTACATTTAAAAAAAAGGAATGAAACCCTGTAACATTTTTGTCTTCTGATTCAGGTGAGGGGTGTGGTGGTAAGGAGGTAGTACAGGGACAGGTAACGTTTTTAATGGCCAAGACTATTAGACTATTAATGGTAGACTATTAAAAAGAATACCACAAGAACAAAAATGTCACAATCTTTACTGGTAAATACATTAATAATTTCAAATGCAAAACAGAAAGCATCTATTATAATATAAAAAGGACCTTAAGAATGCCGTTTTCAAACAATATTTGTAACAAATAAATGCAAAGCACAGATGTAATAGTTTTTTTAAGATTTGTTTTAGAATAGACAACATTTTAATCCTAATTTATTTTTAGGACTAGGATTTTTAGCATTAGGACAAGTACTCTTTGGCACACTCCTTCTGTATATAGTTAAATTCCATACAGTTACAGTATAACTAGAGTTACTGTAAATTATAGTTAAAAAGGTTTCAATTAATTAAAAGTGCAAATATACTGTATTTTTCACAATAAAATAACCCAAAAGATTTAATACAATCTGTTTCATTTTCAAACTTGTCATCCTATATGCTGGGATTTTATGTTTTACTTATCCTCAATAGAATCAATATGTTGGCATTGATTTAATTATTTTAAAGTACATAATAATGATATATATTTGCAGGTAAAGACCTGCAAAAAATAATGATATCTTGTCATAGTCCTGAGAAGCCCTGATCCTTCATGTCTTCAAACCATATCTATAGATCACATTAGTCAGACTTTGCTAGGCCAATAATTGATTCAATTAAATAACTAAATACAGGGTTAGAATGAAATCCAGGATCCCCGAGTCCTCTAGGAGAAGTGTTCTAGGCCTCTGAAGTAGCATAAAACATTAATTTTGTTTTTAAAAAAATATAATTATTTTAGGAGGAAATGAGGCTAAATTAACTTTTAAAAAATGTTTTTTTGGGTCTCAAATGTTGTTTGACCCTTGTCCCATTTTCCTAAGATGTCCACTGACATACTCATGTCACACATTGATGGTAAAACAGACTATAGAGCCAGTGGGCTTCCCATCTAACAAATCAACCCGGAAGTGGTCTTGTCTGAGAAATTAAAGGGAATGTTCTTGAAAGCTGCTCATCTGTGGATTCTAACTTTCCTAATTCTAAGTGGCATTCTCCAGAACAAGGCTGTTACTTAAGGTGCCTTCCCATGAAACTCAGGAAGAACCTATGCACAATCTTCTTTAATGGCCCCATCAGTCCACACATCCTTCAGTAGAGATGTAGGCATTGTTCTCTCCTCAACATCTCTTTCATCCAAAATCCATTCGCAGAAGTTCCGATTTCTTGTCCGACTTGGAGTGAAAAGCAGGCGAGAGCGCGGGTAAATTCCAGTCGGCTACTCGATGTGTGTGTCTGATCTGAATGGAGTTCCGCTTGGCCGCGCTGTTGCTTACTGCGTTTCGGCCCCTCTCCTTCGAGTGGCGTAAGCTTTTAACAATGAGGGTTTGCTGACGGGAGGAGGGAAAAGAAGGAGGCCTTGATCCGTTTACCAGAAATGGGGGAGAACCGCCGGTCCCGTTCTTTGTTGTGCCGACCCATGTGATCCTCCTAGAGATGTTGTCTTTTAGTGCAGTATGGCGCAGCTTTGGCAAAGGGGACAACTGCGCTGACTCAAGTGCTGTAAAATGACGGCCTTCTTTCTCCGGACAACGCCAGGCAAGAGCTGGGACTTTTGGATCCATTGCCTGCAGCAAGTCTTTAAACCTTGTATCCTGATGAAGTGCCGGACTCTTATTGTGTCCTTTGTTCTCTACCAGCAGTCTTGGAGAAACTCCTTTATCCAAATTGAGTGGATGGAGCTTTTCCATCTTGATTTCTGCATGACAGTTGATTGGTTCCAATGGGGTGTTGTCTGAATGACTCGCTCTTTGTTCTTGAAACCTTTGCGGTTTTGTAGCCACACTGGTTTCCTTGCATAGGATAGCATGACCTTGTGTCTCAGAAGAGTCTGATTGGCATGGATTGTGACTGGGTTCCTCTTTACTAGTACACTCTGGGGGCACTAGGTGAATGAGTTCTCTATTAGCAAAGTTAGAAACTGCAACAGAAACAGAGAATGCTTGTGAAAAATTAGAAACGATATGCTCTTCGCGAAACCAGAAGACAGTAAATTGATCAAAGAGCAGATACAGGTAGTCACATGAGCCTCCTGCTTTAATAACCTTTTACCATTGCATCATTGGGTCAAGATGTACATCTAAACAGAATATGAACTTTGAACTTTGAACTTTGAACTTTACTTTATTGAATATGAACATCATGTGAGGAACATGCCATTCAAAGAACATTGATGTTCTTGCATTTTTACCTCTGGCCAGTCATGCAAAAGAGTAAACACTACAGCAACAGTCCTCCAAACAAATATCTAAACAAATATTGGTGTGCTTTAATGGTTAGTGACATTTGTTTCCGAAATGTGGCAACAAAGAGAATGTTTCATTTTCACCACAAATTAAAATGAACAAATGAAACAGAAACATTTCTGTAGCACAGATTGTCTATTTTTCACACAGCTGCAGGCATGGTGCAAAGGTTTGGGCCCCGACCCTGAGTATTGCTCTGTAGTATCGTTGAGCTAGTCCTGGTGTGAAATATGGCTCAGAATATTCCTCACGGTACTAATGTAAGCTGGGGAACCTGTAGAAAACCGATGACTCACAAAAAGACATTACCTTCAGCAAAGTATTCATCCTTATTCTCCAGTGTAACAGCAATTTCATCCTCTGCTATAACATCAACCGATGCAGATGCCAGGGAAGATGATGGGTCTGTTTTGTCAATGCTCTTAAGGTTTTCTCTTGGTATGTCCTCAGTCTTTTTTCTATTGCTTAGTGACTCTGTTTGGTGAAATGGGTTCCAGAGTGGTTTACTGGATTCCTTTCTGTTCTTCTCTACAGCTGTCTCCTTCTGAAAAAAACAAGACAAAAATACTTTATTTTTTATATGTACACACACAAAGTTGGGAATTACCAATTGTTTTCAGATTCAGGGTTCTGATAATGACTCAAAGAGACTGTAGATATATGCCCCCGACTCACCAACCTATCAGAGCACTTCATGTTATTGACGTGCTGGAATCTCCACACTGCCGTACACAAGCATTAGTGCCTATTGAAGGAGTGGTGTGTCTGTCTCTGACACCTCTGAAAGCCTTCGTTTGCTTGGAAATGAGCTGCTGTTGCACTGGGACCTGAGTTACCTGGTTGATTAACAGCATCTGCCTTCACATACAGACATAATGGAAACATTCTGCCAGGTGTTTAAGACTTGTTGTGCGTAACTAAATTAAGTGAAGTTTGATTAAATATGAAGGTGTTGAGCGTGGCACTGTAGCTTGGTGGTTAACATTATGGAATCACAGCTCTTGGGTCCTGGGTTTCCTTCCAGTGCCTGTTGTGCTGATCGTGAAAGCGTGGGTTTTCACTGGGTGTTCTTGGATAAGGGGCATTTGTAAATTGTCCTGCATGTGGAACAGGACTCAATGCAGTGAACGAGGTACAGAAGTGACATCACCCCTCTGAAATGTAGATACTGTGAAACTCTGCTACTATCTAGGGATAGGGAGTGGTGCTGTGCTTACAGCCCATGAGCAACTGGGATTGAATCCCAGCAGGGCCTGGGAGGACTGGTCCATATACGCACGCTGTCATAGCCTCATATCACACTAAGCAGTAAAAGTGGATAGATAGATAAATGTTTTGGTACTGTACCTTTGGGTGGATCTTCTTTCCTGTGTTTGCCTTTTCTCCAAACTCAATCCAACCAGTCTTCTTAGTGAGGTTGCAGTCACTCTGCTCTAGTTTCTATGATAATTAACATAAGCAAAATCAGAACACTGAAACTTTTAATATAAGATTTTAAAAGAAGGCTTATCCTGTATTAATTCTGGGAAAGTTTCACTTAGTTTCACTTACATTTTTTAAACCACATATAGATTTAAAAATTCATAAATCCTTGTTATTCACCTGTGGATTTTCTATTTAATTTTCAGCAATATCTGGTATTCACAATGCGAACAATGATTTGCAGTGTCCTTTAAATATTGGGACAGCAAATTATTTTTCTTTACACTCAAGCAATTTGTATTTATATCTGTGAGAATATGGCATATTATAGATTTTATTTTGGGGTACCTCCATACATATATTTGATCATATTAGAACAAAAATACTTTGTGTTCAACCCAATGATCATAAGTACCTGCACACAGTCCATTGAGTGAAATGTACATTCATTGATTACATTGCGTTTAAATGTCATCAACAGAGGCACTTCACACCAGCCACTTGCTTTTGCCTATCCTTAAGGTGTTCTGGATTCATTTTCTTTCTTCATTGAGTAAAATTGCATTTTCACTCGTATTTCTCGTAATCTGGACCTTGACTTGGCCTATCTATTTTCTTAAGGACTTCCAATGTGTCCATGGGTGCACTGGCCATATGTAACGATCGGCGGCCAAGATTTAAGTAGGACCCCATGTGTTATTCGATCAGGAGTATGACACAAGTCATAGAAAAATCCAGTTGTACTTAGCCATTATGCTGAATCCAAATTCTTAGTCAAAACAAAGAGAGGGTTGGGAAGCCAGAGATTCGGAGAACAGTAAATAGACCGCAAGCGAGGAATTTCAAAGAATGGTGCTCCAGTGGGAAACACTGAGCATTGTGATGAAGGAAAAGAGCTCTTAACTATTATGGGAACCGGGAGGTGTGGTGGTGACCGAGGATTGTAATAGGATAATTAATTAAAGCGCCGTCGTTTGCGGGAATTAGAAGGTGCTTGATTGAGATTACCGGGAGGTGTGTCAATCTGATGCTGGCGTTTATTTTGACTACCGCGGACTGTGACACAATATGACCGGATCATTGTCACGCTGAATGGTGAAGTGCAGCCTGTAAATATGGAAGCATGTTCTTCTACATAACCTGCAACTCACAACTGGCAGCCCAATGAAGCTAAGCAGGTGTGAGCCTGGTCAATACCTGGATGGTAGACCTCCTGGGAAAAACTAAGGTTGCTGCTGGAAGAGGTGCTAGTGGAGCCAGCAGGGGGTGCTCACCCTGCGGTCCATGTAGGTCCTAATGCCCCAGTATAGTGACAGGGACACTATACTGTAAACGGGTGCCGTCCTTCGGATGAGACGTAAAACTGAGGTCCTAACTCTCTGTGGTCATTAAAAATCCCAGGGCATTTCTCAAAAAGAGTAGGGGTGTAACCCCGGTGTCCTGGCCAAAATTCCCATTGGCCTTTACTAATCATGGCATCCTAATAATTCCCATCTTTAAATTGGCTTCATTACTCTGCTCTCCTCCCCACTGATAACTGATGTGTGGTGAGCATTCTGGCGCACTATGGCTGCCGTCGCATCATCCAGGTGGGGCTACACATTGGTGGTGGTGGAGGGGAGTCCCCATTACCTGTAAAGCGCTTTGAGTGGAGTGTCCAGAAAAGCGCTATATAAGTGTAAGCAATTATTATTATTAATTATAACCAGATAAAGTGTTTCTGTAAATGTCAGAACTCGTTCTGCTGCTGCCTTTAGCATTGCCCAGGCCATGACATTATCTTCACCATGCTTCACAGATGAAGTAGTGTCCTTTCGATCATCTGCAGTTCTTTTCTTTCTCCACACCTTAACCTTTCCACAGACCATAAAGAACTGTTTTGATCATATCTGTCCAAAACATGGTTCCAAGACTCTCCTGATGAATCTAAGTATTTACAGATTCTAATCTGGCTGTTCTGCTGGGTGTGCTGGTGAGAGGCTCCCTTCTTGTGGGGTAGGCTTTGTCATTCTGCTGGCTCAGGCTTCTGCGATCTGTGGATTCAGATTCCTTCATCCCTGTGCTCTGGGGGTTGTTGGCGATTTCACTGATGGTTGTTTTAGGGCTTTTCTTGACAGTATTGGTCATTTTTCTGTCATCAGCTACAGCTGTTTTACTTGGCTATCCCAGTCTTAGCTGATTGGTAATTACAACTGTGGTTTCTTTCTCCTTCAGTATATTCCAAATTGTTGATTTTGGTATGCCCACTTTCAGTGCTAGGGTTCTGACTTTCTGAGTTTTCTTTTTTCTTTCAACCTCCAAATGTCCTGTTTTCTTTAACGGAACGTTCTTTGGTTTCCATGATGACTGATGCAAAACTGGTAGCTAAGCATATTCACAGCCCTTTAATGAGTTTTCTTATATTTATTTTTACAGACACCTGTCAATTATCCTAACACCTTTGTGCCTTCAACATAAAGTGTTTCAACAATAAATAAATAAATGTATTTAATTGACTGTACATCTTAAAACTGAATTTACTTTATTAAAAATAAAATACTTGGAAAAGTTGTTTGTATTAATCATGTTTTTTTAATGTGAAATTATTATTATTAGAGACTAATAGTGAAAAAGTTTACACTTTACCACCCCAATGCTTCTGGAGGTCACCATAACTGTGAATTGTTTAGGGAATTAGTTCAATTTTATAGTAAGGACTTACGTATATTCTATGCACTTTTCAGGCAAATTCTATGTACGAAGTACATCCTATACTGGATGGTATAAGGATTTCTGGGTACTGTTTTTTAAATGGTTGTAGGAATTTCAGCAATATTTAGCCTCAAAACCTTCTTCTTCAGAAGGGCCTTTATTTAACAGGTTCTGTTATATACGCCTTCACTCCTACTGTATTAAAACCCCCCATCTACTGTCTCCTCTCATTGTGTATTTTCATTGTGGATATATTGTGTATTTCTTTCATTTGTTGTTGTCATTCTGTAAAGTGCTTTGAGAAGCCACCTTTAAAGGGGCTATATAAAATAAAGTTTATTAGTAGTAGTATATAGAATAAATTACTTTATTAGCACTCTAATCTAATTTACCTTAATTGTTTTGACTCCTTTTTGGTGCCTTGCAAGTTTTTTCACCAGTAAGCAGTAAGTAGCCATGATGGCTGAGGGTCGGTTATTAATCATTGTACTGATGACATCAGAAAGGGCATAATCCAGAGACTCTGTCATGTAGTTCAGTACCACTGAGTTCATTTCGTCTGGTCGAAGTCTGAAAGAAAGTCCTGGTCAAATAATTTAATTTTTTCATGCAAAATAAATTTTTACATTTCTTATTCACCTTTTTAGAACTTCAGAAGTAAGAGACAAAACATTGAAACTTGTTATTTTGACTGCATTTTTAACTCCAGTTCAGTGGATCAGAAATGATTCTTTGGCAAACAGAAGCTTGTCATTCTGTCATGCTTGTAAAATATATTGAACTCTTTTGTACAAATGCGTATTTTTTCTTTTGTTTCAATAGCGAGAAAAAATATTATACATGTCATTAAAAAAAACATCTGCAGCTGATGAATCATATGGTTATAAACAGAATCTTGTGCTGGTAGGTTGAGTCTGAACACAATAATGGGGTTTTCTCCCTTTCTGAAAACAATCAAAACAAAACAAATGATTTCAGGGTCCAGAAAAGTATGGGATTCTGTATGAGTAAATGCGCCCCGAATCAGATACAAATTGTACCAATTAGTATGACATTGTAGCTACTTCACAGCTGTTTTCCTTGCAATAGGCTTTGTGAAGAATAAACTTTACATTCCTATGATTTCACAGGTTTTATCATTAAGACAAAGCAGTATACTAATTCAAAAGTGTAAATAGAAGTGCTTGAGAATTAAAACTACGCCTAATTCACTTTATAATAGTTTCTGTAAAAGGTGCTGAAAGCAGAGCACCATATAGCATTTGATTTTAGCATGCTAAACCATAAGCTTGCAAGGTTCAGTGAAGACATATGGAAAGCATGAATAAAACCATGGCAGAAATTACAGTTTAAATTCACCATTGCAGACTTTTACAAGAGCAATAATACAACACAGGAAAAAGTCTATCTTTCCAAACCCCTTTTGGCTGAAAATCAATCCAAAAGGTGCCCACAACAAGGTCCTTAGACTTCACTTGCAATTCCCTGTTATTCCGAAATGTGGCCTTTTGCACAACTGTGTAATGGAGAATGGGCCTGAGATAGAGAGATAAAGACCTTACCCCAGACCTTAAGAGTACACATTGATGTGGGTCGGCAGTAAAAATAATGGCCCAGGTCTGTGTGCAAGCCATTCAGGGTTCTTGGATTTCTTATAATATTCTGCCAAAACCATTAAAAGCACACTATGCATGTTTTTTTCCACAGATCATTCCTCACTCTCGCCACATTTTTAAACCATCAAAGCCGATACCTGTTTTTGTAAAAAACGGAATTAAGAGGTCTCTTGATGTAGCCTTCATTTAACCATTTGTCTTCCATTGCTTCTTTGACGGCTGGCCGCTTGGTGGGATCAGGCTCCAGCAGAGACAGCATGAACTGAACAGCGCCTGTGGAATTAGTGACACATGGTTTGCCTCACTTTGAAGGATCTGTGTCACAATCATGGCAACATCAAAGTGCAACAAGACCCTTTATTTACCACAGCAGTGATTGTACATTTCAAACATCATTTGAGCTGACCCACTATTTCACATTTTCTAAACAACTATCAAATAATATTAAATTCTAATCTATAAATCTGGGATTTAAAGACATACAGTAGCTAAACAGTAACTCCTAGTCAAGGTGTTGCTATTATCTTCTATATTTTCTTGCATGTACGGTAGCGGACCTTATTCTGTTAGATTCTGCTCAGTTTTTTATTTGCATTATCAGGAAACGGCTCCTATTTTGCATTTTGCTATATATTACATTTCCATAATGTAAGAACAAAAACAGTACACACCTTATGCTTTTAAGAACTCTTATAACAATTATGGGCAAGAAAGTGTATTAGTGGACGTTTTCAGTGTCATGCTCGATAAGGATACAGTGTTTGATATTGAGCTTATAGCACAGCGTTTTGCTAATTTCTCATGAAAATTAATGAGCATATATACAACTTGCATACAGTATGTTGAGGTTTCTATACAACCTTTAAATAATTGTTCTATTTTCTGAACATCTTTGTAGCAAAATAGCGTGTCCAGTGTCTGCTTATGTGAACATACTTAAACTCCTTGTGCCATACATTGTTCTGTGGCAATGTTTTGTGGAAGTGTGACATCAGCTTTTCAAATGGCTACATCATGCAATTGTGCTCAGTTCAGTTGGTGAATTGCACAGTAATTGAAAAAAGCTCTCTTCTGACTCTGATTATGATCTCAACATTATCTAGTGGAGCTCACAAACCCAAGTTGCCTTAGAAGTAAATTGCTAAAGTCACAGAGGCTAAAAGGTAGGTCACCTAGTTGCCAAAATAGGACAGTGCCAGCACGGGTATCATGTTGTCACAGACTGACTTGTCTCACATCGCTCTTGGTAAGTTTCTGTCTCCGTAGCAAGTGGTGTAATTCTGCAGGTAAACTCTAGCTCATTCTGACAAGGCTGGCTAAGGGATGCCTGACACTCGTTGACTGCTGCCACTCCGTCTTCTTCACTGCTGTAAACCAACCCTGGGGAACTAGAACTCGTGTTACCTGATCTAAGAATAGTAACAACACTCACTGAAGTGCATCCTGTACCTGGGTGTGGGCATCACCAATTTGGTGAGTGACTTACTAGATGTTATACAGTAGGTTTGCTTATTCCTTGATGACACTGCGTGATTGCTGTGCAATACCAGTGTGAACAAATTGTATTTCCAAATATATTTTGTAGTGTAGTGTTTATTTTAAAACATTGTCGTGCCAACATTATTTATAATTAGAGAAATACAGATAGTATGGCAGTATGCTATTAAAATGTAGAAATCCAGCTTGTGGTTTGTGGGAATCGTTAGTCCTGAATGAAATAAACCCCTGGTTATTTGCCATGTGTCAAAATAATATTTTTGAAAAGTAACATCCTGTAATGTTAACTGTTCTCTTTGCAGACTGTATGTGCTCCTTAAACATTGTTTGTTTTTTTACCAGTCCAGAGTTAGACATTTTTCCAGTAGCAGAAATCTAAATTTATGCTTTCAATGATACATAATAGAAATGTGTATGGCCTTTTCCAGGTTCTCCAAACAAAGCTACACCAGGTGTATAATACTGGAGACAAATTGCAAATTTAGCGTGCATTGTGTGTAAAAAAAAACTCCATGCATGTTCTAACCACTTCTTCCAATTCGGGGTGACAAGGAAGCAGGAGACTATCCCGGCAAGCAATGGGCGCAAGGCAGGGTACACCTTGGGTGGGACACCAGTCCATCACAGTTAAAAACTAAATAGGTGACTGTGATTCGCTTTAAAATGTTTTTTTTTTCCTGAATTTTTATCATATTTGTTTTATATCTTCATCCATTATTTTGATCAAACCTCTTTGCAGCTTTATAGCAAGTTTGAGGGACAGAATTCTACTTTAACCTCTTTTTGTGTGTAGATGGCAAAAAGCAAATGGAATCTCTAGGGCAAAAGGTGAGGGAGAAAAATTGTGCTTGCATGCCTCGTATATCCATTCCATTTCAGTCCGCTCAGCCAGGAAACCTGGCACCAGTAGTACTGGAGCCTGAGTGAGCTGTATTATTTATGGAAACTTTGATATCACAAGACTGATCAAGAGTGGGAAAATGTTTTAGTAACACATGGCTGGTTTTATTGCTATCCTGCCTTTTTATTATCTGGCTTCAGAATTCATGGCACATAACACCTTGCATAACAGTGACATAACTGACATAGGATATCTCTTGTCTTCACGTTGAAGTTGTTATATGGGGTTGCACATTACCTTTGCTGATGTCAGATGGAATAGCACTGATTTCACCATTGGCCATTTTCTGATGAAGCTGCTTGATATTGAAGGGCTCCACAGTAAAAGGCAGCGTGCCTGTCAGCATAGCGAACATGCTCACCCCGCTGTGGAGGCGAGAAACAGCATCAGTCAGCCGCAGCGTGAAGGCAGAAAGAGACCTGGCGATCGCGGCCATGAGAGAAGGGAGGTTTTTCCCCTTCAGGGAAAGCGCGGAGGTCGTTTCCCGCCAAAAGGAGAAGCAACTCTCTGGCTGTGGAGCCTTCTTGGGGTTTGTGTGCCGCTCACCTGAAGAAGGCGTCATGGCGGAAAGGTCACGTTTCTTACTTTTGCCTTTTATTTTTCAGTGTGGAATTAACCTCTATTCATTCCTTTTCTCACCCCATGTGCACCTCCCCACTCACGTTGCCTGTTGGCCATCACACACATGCTTCATAGTTCTATGTCACCGGATCACATCCCATATGAATACATACCGTATGGCATTTAACTGTACACTATTGTAAATGATAAATAAAACTGGATTTCTTGTTTTTGTGGGATCCTGTGTGCAACAGATAAAACAGCAATATTTATGCTTTGCGTAAGACTGTTTTTAAGATCAGTTTGAGATACGATGAGGGTGAACAGAACCGACCACTCAGCACCAGAGAAACTTTTTTAAACACCTAGATACAAATGTATATTTAGTTCATACTGTATGTATTCATAGAAATAAAATATAAGTATTAGTTAATCCATTTCCTCATCACTCATACCACAATCACAATACAGGTTAGTGGGGAAACCAGAGCTTATCCTGGCAAAGAAAAGGATACACAGGCACAAGGCAGGGTACAGCCTGCATGGGACACCAGTCCATTAAAGGGCAAACACAGCCGCAGATATGCACCCACTCACAGTCTTTGGACTGTGGAAGGAAACCGGAGCTTCCAGGGGAAACCCACATGAACACGGGAAGAACATATCACCACACAGACATTAACCCAGGTACAGAACTGAGCCCAGGGCCCCCGGTGCTGTGTGGTAGCATTCTAAGTGATGCGCTGCCCATTGTTAGTTAATATACATTTATTTTTAAGCAATATTACAACGCTGAAGAATATAAGATACTCTCTAAACTTTGTATTTTAGCTTTAATAGCGAAAGGCCTGACACAATATTGCCTTATACTGTGATAAAAAAAGGTTATTTTTTTGTTATATAATTGTGTTTACAATCACCAGGCAACATTAATGATTTACTCCTGGAAATAGAGCTTGAGCCCATCATTAATGGCCTGAAGCAAACTGACCACCAGAACCACTGCAGTAACTGGAGTGTAACCCTTCAAAAAATACCTAGCAGAAATCCAACCCGCATTTCATTTAGGGAACAGCTGAACTTTCCATATCCAGGAAACCAAAACAGTGAGGTGACTGCCTTAGATTCCACACTACCACCAATAACAGCCACAAATATTTGTTACTGACAAGGGCTTATTTTGAGGCCTATTAAATCGCATGTGTTTCTGCTTGGTCAGCAACTTACATTGACCACACGTCCACCTTCGGGCCGTACTTCTTGTGTGCCAGGAGCTCAGGGGCAGCGTAGGCAGGGCTGCCACACTGCGTGTTCAGAAGCTCCAGTGAGAGGGACTCCACTTTCAAAGTGTTGCTTAAACCGAAGTCTGTATAACCAAAACATGGAAATAACTACAAGAGCAGACAAACATCTCTTTTGAACTCATGAAAATTACACATCACTGGTAATGATATTAAGCATTTTACTCTTTGGAATTCTAGCATTTCTTTTGTGCCAGTAAATGCAAGACATGTGTAATTACACCTCTTAAACTACAATTGCAGCTGATGTCATTTGGACAATACAAATACATACACAGCAACATGACACATCTACTCTATCTGAATTAGAATGTGCGTTCAAATTAAGCATGCACACTCCAGGAAATTTAGCGATATACAAATAACTTTGAAACCATATGAAGCTACAGTACATACAGTACACAGTGAAGCGCCTTCATATACAGTATCTGCAGTTACACAGACAGTCTGGCATACTGGTTGACAAAACCTCCCTAATAAGAAATTCAATGTAGTTACATAGTGTGTTTAATACTTCTTTCTAATTCAGAACCATTCGCCTGAAGTCTTAAACCACAAATAGGCTTTTGTGGAAGTAAAGTTTCCTTATTTCCTCTTGGAAGAAGAAGCATGGAAGCTCACATTCTCTCTTAAACCAATCAAATCAATATGCCAAATGGTGCATAATATAAGATTGGCCTTATGTGTAAGATCAGAAATATTGGATTTCTGCCAGTAATATTTGATTTTTTATTAATGATCAGACCAAATGCACAATGGAATGTTTGTGTTAACCAGCCTAAGTCAAACAAAATGTGAGTTTTCAACCAATGGTCTGCAATGATGCTCTGCCCATTTTATTCTTCACTGACACAGCCATGTTTGTACTGTAAGTACGAAACATCACCATTCTCTCCACTCAACGCTCTTTTTCCAGTGCCTCTTTTTATCCCAGAAATGATTCCATATATCATGTGCATGGGCTCCACTCCACACAAAAAACAAGCTGTTTTTTTTCTCACAAAGGAAAGAACGACACTAAACCTCACCCATTAATGATGACATTTAACAGAAGATCTCCATGGTGACAATTCCTCATACACAGAACCTGCAACTCTGCCCTACACTCCCTTATAGGGTACCTTCTTCATGTTACCCCATAATAATATCACTTAAATCATTTGTTGAACCTTTTTAAGCATGAAGATATTTTACCAATGTATTAAAACATTTCCCTGATGAATGGCCTGAAATGTGTCACATTTCATGGCTCTCAATTTGTTGGTGTTCTTTCAGTTCAAGATGAAGTCATCTGATGTGATCATTTGAAAGGAAGAACACAAACCACATGATTTCTGTCCTGCACACTGGAAAAACCCTGGGTTAGTACTTGTGCGTCCAATTACTATGCTATATATTCCATATGCAATGTCACATGGTGAAATTATTGCGCTTTCACATTTTTCATTTGTTTTACTTTGTAGTGCTTCATGATTCTTTGTACAGATTCTGTGCTATATACAGTACGGTGCCTTGCAGAAGTTTTCAGACCCTTGCGGTTTTCACATTTTGTTGGTTTTTAAGCTTGCAGTCATGACACATTAAAGTAGTATTTAATATTGGTTACAAAGGAACAAGTAATAGGTTTATTCCATGCTGAAAAGAGAAGAAAGAAAACACAATGTTTCGGCTGTGGAGCCTCACACCCGAAGAAAGCTGAACTACTTTAATATTGGTTATATACATAGCCTATTCCACGCATTCAATGTAAAAAGAAACAAAATGAAAGAAATAATATGAAACAAAAGTATTTAAAAAAAGTATTCAAATCTTCTGTGTGGCAAACCAAAATTAAATTAGGTGCACAAAATTGCCTTAAAGAGCCACACAGTTAGTTGAGTGGTCTCTGTGTGCAAAAATATACATTTTCATGGTTTCAGACTAAATATACCTCTCGCTGTAAGATCCCTCAGAAATGAATTTCTAGAAGTTATTCACCCATGAAGACGAAGGAGTTTTCAAACCTACTCAGGAATAAAGTTGTATAAAGGTGCGGATCACAAAAATGGTATTAAATATTTCAAAGACCCTTAATACTGTATGTCTTTAAACGTGATGAAGTTGATCATTAAGAAGGAGAAGACATCCAAACACTGCTAAGATCAGGCATGTTCCTTTAAACTGAGCAGAGCAGCTGGGCAAGAAGGAAACTGGTTTTGTATTGCTCAAAATGTCAATATATTGTACTTTTAGGCAGCATAATTGAAGTTCCCATCACATACAGAAAAAGATCTCTTGTTTTATGCTCATATGCATGAAGCACAAGGGGACACAATCACTACATAGACATATAAGCCCCTCTCCTCATTGTGAGACTTTGAAAGCATGACTCAAAAGTACATGTATTTGTCTCTTACAACTTAAATTGAGCAAATTCATTGAGCATATACATTTTGGAAAACTCTTGTTATGATCACGAGATTGTATTTTCCCTTCTTTGCAACAAACCATGCATTCAATTTAAATAACTTTCAGCCTCTTTCAACCTTGAAATGACTTAATTATATGAAAGCCACATTTTTATCAGTAAATTTTAAAATAGCTATACACATACCGACAATTTTAATGTTGTTGAATTCATCCAGGAGAAAGTTTTCAATTTTTAAATCTCTGAAAAACAAACACAAACGTGAATAAATACATGCTGCAGGAGTAAAATAATGCTACAGGACATGCAGTAGTAAATACTGTACTTAGAATGCAACATTTTTTAGCATCCTTAAGTATAACTAAGTGAATTATAACTTATATCTTACATACAGTAGTGCGGAATTAAATTTATAAAGGTACATGTTCAAAGTTTTCAAACAATTAATATTGAATTCTACCAGTTTTAAGTTATTAGATTTAAGTTTAAATTTCTTTCTGACATTAATAATCATAATCTCACTGTAAGTCAAATCTCATATGGAAAAGTTGATTTTAAATATCAGTTAAATATTTTTTTAAGCAAAAAGAAATTGTGCAAAAAACAAGACTTTCATATGTAGCCTTCGATAGAATGTAGAATGTATATTGTCAGCTTTGTAAAATGGTGTTCTGAAATAAAGAATGCCATTTAAAATGCCTTTTAAACTTGTGAATATCACTGCAGAAGGGAAACTGCCTACTTTACCTGAAACAAAGCCTGGGCAGGCATACAATCGAGACCAAATAATTCTGTCAAGCAGTTTGCTGATTAACCTAGATCATGACACTTCTGCACAGCCAAGCAGAAGTCTGGGACTAGAAAGATTACAGCTGAAGTTCAGGTGTTGGGTGTTCTGAGCTATAAATGGAATCTCCAGTGACAGTTCCTGGAACTGAGCCTGACAGTTTGCAAGAGTTATGATTTCTTCCTTTTCATGAGCAGAGGATTTTTGGGAATTACATTAAAATAGAAGGCAGGGGATAGAAGAAACACAAGGGTTGCTGTGGTTTAGGACAGTTAGGGAAAATATATATTTTACTATTCTTTCTTTCATTATTGTAATATTCAGCATTTCATTTTCAAATACTACGTTGCTTCATGGTTTTTAACTAATCATGTTTTAGCATTCACTGACATGAGGTGAATAATAACTGCTATGAAGAAGATAAATATTCCAATTCAGTGAATGAACAATGGTTATCAAATCCAGTACAGTATATTGAAGTCTGTCCATAAAATTAATTGAAACACTGGGATTGTGAGGGTCTTCCACCATATTCCTTTAAATGTAGATTGTAAAATGTAGACTGAAATCAATATCTCTAGTTCAGAAAATAAAATCTAGCATAATGTTGCCATCTCCCCCTCAAACATCCTGTAAAATGTGATCCGCATTCAGGGTTCTGTTGGTAGTGTGTAGGGTCTACATACTGTACTGTAGCTTAGCACCTACTAAATCAAGTGCAGTGCTAGTCTAACAGTCTTACACTGTACTCCTACTTGGATTGCTGGACACAGGGATGTTATGTGTGGTAAAGCTGATAAAAAAAAGAAAAAAACAAAAAAAGAAAAAATTAAAAAAAATTTAACCTCAAAGCCCCAAAATCCAAGAATTATAGAAATGTCTGCTGTTTAAACATCCATAACATTATAAGAAGGATTACAAGTAAATGAGTTGGCCCATCTTGTGTGTTTGGAGATTGGCAACAAAGTGAGCCAAGCAACACATCCTGCAACAAGTGGGAAGCTTGTACTAGACTGTCACAACACTATGTGTAAGGTTTAAGCATTTCCAATTAGATTCTAGTTTGTGTTTGTCCCCGAGGAAGACCCATGCAATGAAATTTGTCATTGCCTTTGAGGATATTGAGTATTTGAATCAGGGTCTCTGCCAAGACTAAAAAGATTCAGATGGTTTAACCTGTCAGAGTAGGACATTTCTTTACACCCTGGAAACCAGTATCAATATCTTCTTCATAACATGGTGACCAAACGTGGAGGTACCAGTATTCCAAATGGTTCAAGAAAGCAATAAGCACAAACATAAGGGAAAATAAATCATTTTCTAAAATGATTAAAAAACAGCAATTAAAGAAAATAAGTCGAATGGCATTGCAAGCACCAGAAAAAAGGATCAGGAGGAAGTTCAAGTAGAAATTAAAAGGAATGGAGGCTAAAATATGTGATAAAACGCTCTTTTGGCACTGCAAGAGGAAAACAATCTTCAAGAACAAAGTAAAAAAATATCTGGGACACAAATGGGAAACTTCTTAACAGTGAACTGAAAACGGATGATATAGAAAATGAGTATTTCGCTCTGGTACTGTATTTACTAGGAAATCAGAGTATCAGAGTGGCATGGTGGCACATTAGTTACCATTGCTGCCTCACAGTGCTGGAGCCTTTCAGTTCCCGGGGTGCTGTCTGTGTGGAGATTGTATGTTTTTCATGTGTTTCCTCCCACAGTCCAAAGACATACAGTACTGGTGTATTCTGGCTACGCCTTTGTGTGCCCTCTGATGGACTGGCGTCCCATCCAGTGTGTATCCTACCTTGTGCCCAATACTTGCTGGGGTAGACTGTAGCTCCCACCCAACCCTGAATTGGATAAAGAGGTTAGAAAAAGAATGGTTGGAGAGTACTAGCATAGAAGAGGGAGACGTGTTTCAGGTACTAGTGGCATTCAGGATGAATAAATCCCCATTGTCCAATGGTAGTGTAGTATTGTAGGAAACGAGAGATGTTATTCAAAACCCATTGACACAACTCTTCCAAAAAGTCACTTGCTCACTTGTGAGTAAACTGAACCAAGTAATTATAGACCAATATGTCTGACTTCTATTACATGTAAGGTAATGGAAACCATCTCATATACGGAAATAATATTCTAGGAAATAGTCAGCAATGATTTAGAAAAGGTAGGAACAAGAACAACGCTAATTAATTCACACAGGAGATATGATACGGTCTATTTAGACTTTCAGAAGGCTATGCATAAAATTTGCCATAAATTATTAATTCTCAAATGGCAGGATGTAGCCCTTCAGGGAAGCATAAGGGTTAGAGTGCTACAGGGATCTGTACTAGGACCACAGCTCTTCTTAATTTATATCAATGATCTAGATTGCAGTATAGTAAAATAGTTCAGGTGGGTAGCTGCGTCAGCATGCGTAGGCTGCAAAGGAATAAGTAATAGGTTTATTCCATGCTGAAAAAAAGAAGAAAGAGAACACAACGTTTCGGAAACGTTTCGGAAACGTTGTGTTCTCTTTCTTCTTTTTTTCAACATGGAATAAACCGTATAGTAAAATTGTCATGCTGGGTATATTAATTGATGTTTCTAATTTGTCATTGTGTGCTAGTGCTTGTGAATGTGTTCGTATGCCTTATAGTGCACTGCCATCTCCTCCACGGTTTAGTCTCATCTGTGCTTCTGGGACAAGCTCTGGGATTAGCTTCAGGGTGCAGTAATACTTATCATGAATGTGAGATTTCTGATAGTGGATGGTCATCTAATTATATATCATATCATGGACTTCCTTTCTATTGCTTCTCCACATCATCTGGGAAACTTAAAGGTCGTGTCTACATACACACTTAATTTATTTTTATACTGTACATTGCTTCTTCAAGATTAGTGTTTATTATCTTAGATTTACAATTCATGATTTTGTTACACTGTATACTGTACATACAGTACACTGTAACACTGCACTTGGCTTTTGTCTGTATGAATGTCTGTTTGCCTCGTCTTGAATTTTGTCTTTCCTTTGCAGCTTCTACAATGTTTGCTAATCCTCCCATTTTGGCCTTACTATACTTGAATCTACTTCATTAATATCCACTGGACTAAATATAGAGTGGTACTCCACTAATTACTGTATATCACAGTTTTTTACCCCTTTTCCTTTTTGTTTCCTAAACCTAACCCTAACTTTCTTTTTTAGTTTGCATCTATTATCCAGGTATCAATACAAAAATATGCATGAAAACATAAATGTAAAATTGAAGTATTAATCTTTTACAAGAGACATTATCGAAAGCCATCTCAAAACCTAACTTTATGTATATTTTGTTATACTGCAAACAAGATCATTGATAGAAATTATGAATATCCTAGTACAGATCCCTGCAGCACTCAAACCATCACATTTCCTTGAATGCCTTCAAATTGGAACCTCCCGCAATTTGACAATTCATTAATGAGACTCTTTATAAGAAGGCCTTCTGAAAGTCTAAATACACCATATCATATGTCTTGTGTGAATTAATTAGAGTTGTTCTTGTTCAACTTGTTCAAAGGCAAAACCTACCTTTTTTTAAATCATTGCTAAATCATTGCTGACTATTTCCTAGAATATTATTTCCGTATATGAGATGGTTTCCATTACCTTACATGTAATAGTCAGAAATATTGGTCTGTAATTACTTGGTTCAATTTACTCACAAGTGAGCAAGTGACTTTTGGAAGAGTTATATCAATGGGTTCTGAATAACATCTCTCATTTCCTACAATACTATAGGTAAGATACCATTGGACCCTGGGGATTTATTAATGTTCAGTGCCTCTAGTACCTGAAACAATTCTCCCTCTTCTATGATGGTACTGTCCATCCATTCCTTTTCTAAGCTCTTGAACCAATTCAGGGTCATCCCAACGGGCAAAGGACACAAGGCAGGGTACACCCTAGATGGGATGCCAGTCAATTGCAGACTGTCATATACAGTAGAGTCACAAAAATACACACACTCACACCAGAGCCAATTTTCCAGGATGCCAGTTACTGTAAGCTACCAGTATGTGTTTGGACTTTGAGAGGAAACCAGTGCACATGGACAACACCCAAACAAACATGTAGAAAACACAAACTCCACACAGATAGCACTATGTCCATAGTTGAACCCAGGGCCCCAGATGTGCTTGGCAGTAGTGCTAACCACTGCACCACTCTGCCGCACACTTTACTGATTATTCTTTAATAATATTAGGTTATGAAGATAAATGAAATGTCTATTCTAAGTGGCCTAGGTTCTTGCACAGATGCTGCTATAAAAAGGTCTATTTGGGCCTCAGCTGTCAGTGGTGGAACAGGGCTCTGATCAGGGCCTCACTACCTGTGCACGATGCCGTGCCGGTGGAGGTGCTCCACAGCCGACATGATCTGCCTGGTGTATCTGCGCACTTCCTTCTCTTCCAGCCTCTTCCTGTCACAGATCCGGTCCATGAGGTCCCCCCCCTGGCACAGCTCCATCACCATGTAGTAGGAGTTCTCCGTCTCCAGGGTCTCATACAGCTGCACAATGTTCGGGTGCTTGACCATCTGGTGGATCCGCGGCTCCCTCTTCATGTTCCTCAGCACATACGAGTCCTGTTTCGCTTTCTTCTTATCTATCACTTTGATGGCAACCTGGCAAGTCAGTTCAATGTCTGTTTGTTAATGCTGAAGTAACAGCAGCCCTACAAACCCTGCCTTTATGGATGGATAGAAACTACTAATTTGTTTACAAGGGGGGTGTTTTCACTTTTGCAAATGCCAACTCATTCATCTTAGGTGTGGATGAGATCAGACTTCTTAAAGTGGTAAATGGTAATTCAATTCCTTTCCATAGAACCATATCAGAAAAAAGGTGGTTTATCTTACACTGGTAGAAATTCCACAGTGTCCCTCACCTACTGACTGTAGTATCTATGATTAGGTACCTTATGAGTGAAGTGTGACAGTTGTTCTGTCGTGTTATAGGCAACCGGACAATCTACTCTGACAGGGAGTCTGCACCACATGCACTCCGCAGACAAAGACCACGGACCTTTAGACCAAACAAAGACCACTGGAACTTTACATTTCAGTGTTTTTTTACTTTATGTATCTCATGAGCAAAATATGGATCTGCTCACATTTAACAAGCAGCAAAAAACAAAACAAAACACATGACTTCAGAGTAGTCAGAAAGTTGCTGGATATGTTTAAATGAGCAACTAAGACAAGGCATTTAGTTTAACATGTGGTTTCACAGCTAGCCAGATAGTTATGGAATCAGCCTTTGTGTGTCAGGATGAAAGCCCGTCTCCATGGTTTCCATAACAGATACACAAAGTAAGGTAAGAAATAATCTGCCCCCCCTGAGCGACCTGCTGTTCAATCACCAGTCGTGATTTACATATCCTGTGTTGGAATAAGCAACACAGAAGGTTTTGCATGGCTTGTTACAGACTAGATGCTATGATTCACTGACAAAAGGAACTGACAGTCATTTTACTCTAAACCTACTGTGATTTCATTTAGGCATAAACTGTTGCATTGTGAACTTCTTTCAGCTTTTTGGTCTTCCAAAAAAAATGAATTTACTTTTGAATGGGCTCTTCTGATTACAGTAAATATCAACCTAAGTGAATGCATATACCGTACTTGGTCTACTTAGAGGTATTTGATTAACACATTTCTCATGGTGTCATTTGGCTAATGCATGATTAAAATTTCATGGAGGGATTTCAGGTTTACTTGGCGTTTCTTTTTGCGTAAAAGGAACAGAATGTTTGTCACTGTAAGGTAAATACAATGCTTAAGACAGCATGAGGTAAAGCAAGTGTTACACCAAGAAAGAGGTTTTAAGTATTTTAATTTGTGAAAGATCATGGGATTTGCAAAAATGCACAACTGAACAGTCATAAAATAAAGCACAATTAAACTTATTTTAGATCTGAATGGCGTGAGCATACAGTAAATTGAAGGTATGTAATGAAGTGTTTCTTTGTCTCAATTAAACTTAGTTTTAATATAGTATGAAGTGTGTTAATACTTTTAGGAAGTGTCTGGCTTGAAGTATTATTTATTTTGTCCACCTTTATTGCAGGACATCTACAACAAAGCTCAGAGGAGATAGAGACAGACAGATATAAAAAAATAAACTATGCTCAATTTATCAAGCTATTATTGAAATCTGAATCCCAAGTGGAAGATTTATAAAACCATTTTGTTCGATCAGTAAACTAGTTAAAAGTTGTCTTGCATTAGATCAAGTTTTAAAAAAATAGAAAGTAAGGTTTTCATAAATTCCATTTTATGTTTTAGTGTTTGTACACCATTGTAATTCCCTGTGTGTTTGTTTGAATTCAATCACCAAAAATCTGAAAAAGGTGAATGTCCTTTTTTCTAGGAGAAATAACGATACTTCTGTTGGGGTTTTAAGCAGTTTTCTTAGGCATATAACAGGTGTGTGATAAAATTTGAATGGCACCCATCCAGGATAATTATTTTTAATAAATTAAGAGATAATTATTTTTCCTGAAACCCGTGTAAAAAGTAATACTTTGCTTACAAAGACGCACACTAGTAGTAAAACATCCCATTGCTATATTTGGGAAACACATCACTCCAGAGATCACTAAAAGTCTGTACACAAACTCTGTTTATTGCTTTCCTCTACAAAGCGCAGTTAAGTGAAATCCAAGGCCATACTTTAGAGCCTGAAGAAAAGTGAAGTCCTGTTAACTATTGTTGATGAATTTACTCATAGTTTTGTCACATTTTAAATTACCTTTGCTGACAAATGTTTTATTTATTACAGCTGGCAATGCAAACCTAATAAATAAGAAAAGTCCTAAGAAGGAAACTGGTAGTTTATGCCAGACCTTGTTGTATTCAAGCTATTTTTAGAAAAAACATTTTTTTGAGTAATTCACACTTAAATGTAGAAAATGCCAGGCTCAACATACATTTGGCAGTTAGCCCTCTCGTGTAATTGAAGCTCTTACACATAACTCAAGCAGGTGGCTAATTAAAATAATAAAGAAGATACTTTTTAATCATTTCCACTTTAATATTTCTAACTTTTTTACTATTAAAATAATTCTGTCCTTCTATCCCAAGTAATACTATTCTGCATTCTGTTTTATTTCTATAAAGTTGGATACAAATTAAACTTTCATCCAGACATATCAAAGCCTTAGATCAGAAATGCAAGCCCTAGAGGGCTGCTGTCCTGCAGGTATTCTTGCAAGCAGGATCCAATTAACAACCTAATTGAAGTGATTATTGGTTCAATGGGTGTACTTTAACAGATTTGTCAAGCTTTTTGGGTACTGCCAATTTAAAGAAATCTATAATACCTAGCCTCTGCTTTAGATAACACTTAGAAATACAATCATTATTTAGTAAACAGCAATCCTCAATTGAAGTTCAGTATGAGGACCAATAAACATCAGCACAAAGGAATAAAAGTGCTGGGCAAAAATGAAATGGGAACTTCAGTAGTTGAGGAATCATAGGTGAGAATATTAGCAATAACAGCAACAATTTTATGAAGTACTGAACATTTACTATATTTCATAGAATCACTGCAAAGGGATAATAAACAAAGATAAACCAGTTAACCATAAAATGTGTTTAGATAAAATAAGGTTCTGGTTAAGCTGATAAATCAAACAGGGAAAGCAAGTTTAAAACAGCTTCAAGACAGCTTTCAGAGGTTTTGTGGTACAGAACTCTACTGCTCTGGTGCACAACTCAAGAAAGCCACGACACTGTGCTTTGTATAACAGAGCCCATTGCCAAAAGGAAGTAATAACTGAAAGACATGGGAAGCCAAGGCTGCCACAGGAAATAATTAGTGCTCGCAGATTTGAAACTTACCTTCTCTCCTGTGCTGATATGAAGTCCCTCCATCACTTTGGCAAAGGAGCCCTTGTTGATCATCTTGCCCACCAGGTAGCTCCCGACCCTCTTGGTGTGAGGAAAGTTTTTCACTGTATCCCGCGGGACCTTACTGAGACAGGCGGGCACTTGGGTCTTGTCTTTGCCAGACCTCTCCCATTCCGGAATGATCCTCTCCAGCTCCCCGTTGTCCCCTGTGACACCCTCCAGGGCAGTCTTGACCGCTGCAGGCATTGTTATCCCTGAACTCACTCCCAGGGCTCCAGCTCCTGCAGATGTGGATGACTAACGGTCGGTCACCTCCACTGGGAGAGAGCCCCGAGACCTTCATCACAGGCTGTTCCTCCCTCCCAGGACTGCCTCCCAGTCAGTGATCTCTGTCTACAAGCAGACTGGTTTGCTGAAGCAGAACCAAGCAGTAGATAATTAACCAAACCTGATACACGGTTTGTGCGAGTGTCCCGCTGGAGCTGACAGACGCACCCGAGGATACTCTACACCCTTATTGTCCACCAGTACATCACATTGTTTAACAGCAGAGCAACTTGAGTAACACATGCACTTTACTCGTAAAAAGATAATTGTCATCTTTAGAAATATCCTCAGGGCCATTATTTTATAGCAAGGTGATAAAGAAAAAATTAAGTGCCAAAAAAAAAGTAATTTGCCTTATATCAATAAACTTGTAATATCTTCTACAATATATTCAAAATAAGGAAATTACCATGGAAGTTACAGTACACATCTCATACAGAAGTAGATTATACCAATCTACTTCCATCTTTAATATGATAAGGAATCTTAAAATCTATTGTTTACAGAATACATACAGTATATAGAAACAAAGTCATTTCAATGGCATTGATCCAGGATCACAAACAATACAGTACCTGAGTTTTTTTTAAATTCCTGCTTTATTATTATGTTAAAAAAGTGGTATTCCATCATTCACAAGATGCTTTAAGGTGAATATTTCAGTTTTGCACCTTTTGCACCCTTTAGAAACAACAAGGAGGTGATTGTGACTATAGACTACAATGTAGTATGTAAAAAAATCTATAGTTCTTTTTCTGAAGGGTTTGTGGGGAGTAGTTAAGTAGAAAAGTATGTTTCAGAAAAGTTTGTTTTGGTGTGTGTTAAATTCGACTACCTGCTCTGACTTTCATGGAGAATTTCTCCTTCGGAGACCTGATTCTGAGACCTGAGACCTGACCTGATGTACCTGATTCTCAGTCATCCACTTTAGAGCCGAATTGTGAAAATGTTATAGGCATGTACGTATCTGTTTGATAAATGCTCAATTCTCAATGATAAGCATGAGAGAGAAACTCATGAGGGCAATTCCACATCCGAGGGCTGTGTTCAATTTCCACAAGCCTGTTTCTTACAAAACAAAATGTTTAGAAACAAATGTCACACAGATGATCATTTTAAAGACTGAGAAGCATCGAAAGCTAACAACAAATATGTAATATGCATTTAAATGCTAAAATTTGGCTAAATTATGTAGCCAGCAGCAATATCACTCTGCAACTCACAACTGGTAACCCACTGAAGCTAAGCAGGCGTGAGCCTGGTCAGTACCTGGATGATAGACCTCCTGCAAAAAACTAAGGTTTAATGTTAGTGGGGCCAGCATGGGGCGCTCACCCTGTGGTCCATGTGGGTCCTAACGCCCCAGTATAGTGAGGGGGACACTATACTGTAAACAGGTCCCGTCCTTCGGATGTGATGTAAAATGGAGGTCCTGACTCTCTGTGGTCATTAAAAATCCCAGGGCGTTTCTCGAAAAGAGTAGGTAAAAAGAGGGTGTAACCCCGGTGTCCTGGCCAAATTTCCCATTGGCCCTTACCAATCATGGCCTCCCAGTAATCCCCATCTATGAGTTGGCTACATTACTCTGCTCTCCTCCCCACTGATAGCTGATGTGGGGTGAGCGTTTTGGGCACTATGGCTGCCATCACATCATCCAGGTGGGGCTACACATTGGTGGTGGTGGACGGGAGTCCCCATTACCTGTAAAGCACTTTGAATGGAGTGTCCAGAAAAGCGCTATATAAGTGTGAGCAATTATAACAATAATAATTATTATTATTATTAAATACTGTATTTTGAAATATCTACATTGAAGAAAATAAATGTCTCAGAAATTGAGACCTTATGATGTTGTTTTTATAATTCCTTATCCTTTTCACATTAACCTTGTGTTAGGGCAGTTCCTAAACCTAAAGCAGATTCATGATGACAAGTTCCTTTTCTCCTTATGTTGCAGGTGATGCTCAAGAGATGACGTTTGCTCTTGACTTGCCTTTCCTCTTCCATTGTTTCACGTTGTTAGATGAAGAGGATTGTTATTCCCTCAGATTGGACCGTGATCAGGTTTAACTCTGTGATACCGAAATTGTGAAGATAACAGTTATTGAAAATGTGGATGTGACAGGTTGGCAGTAGGTGCTCATCTGGGGAGGGCACAGCTGCAGGGAGTTGGTGCTTTGATGAGCTGCAGCGGTAGGTTGTCCTATTTAAACGGTCTGTCTAAGGTCTGTTCAGGGCGAAAAAGAAACTCTCTTTGAAAGACAAACATTTGTTGGTAGAAGGCTTTCCTAATCCCACTAAGCAGCCTGAGAGGAAGGTGGTGGCTGTATCACTGGAGAAGAAGCTATGGAAAGGGCTGTGGAGGTGTTTGTGTCTGTGTGTTGTGAGTGAGGTTGCTAGGGACGATGCTGTCAGCTGGATGTGCCACTGAAGATCTCTAAGAGAAAATCCATATAGGCTCAAGGAGAACAAGCAAACTCCACCCAAATCTGGAATCAAACCCAGGATACAAAAGCTGCGAGGTTCTACAGTAAATACCATTCCACAGTGCCATATACTGACTTACTCACGAACAATATTAAATGTCCAGAGGCATTTTGAAGCTACCAGAATCAATGCAATCATAACCAGTTACAATTTCTTATTGCTAAGCGTAAAGGTCCAAAAATAAACAAAATATCCCAGTTTAAAAAAGTTCCAGCTTGAAAATGCTCAGGCTTGGCTGAAAAGTAGAAAATTCGTGGTTTAGATTAATAGATTCCTATTTTGCTTTTTTTCAAAGCTCCAGTCTGCATCCGGAATAATCTGAATCTTCTCTAGACACACATTTTGATATTTTTACTGTTCCCAAGACAACTGTTGAAGGTTCCAAATTGAGCAATGGTGTGTTCTCTTTCACAAAACCCACAGTAAGCAATGTGTTGATATATGAAGATTTCTCATGGACAATTTGAAAGGGTTGAATGGGCAAGCACATTCCTCATATTCAACAGCGCTACGAAGATGGCTCGTGTATGTAATACATATTTATGTTAACTCTAGGTTTCCTCTGTGGTTTTTGAAAACAAGTCCGAAGGTCTTATAACAAAGCCACACATTATGTGCACGACCGCAGCTATGTCTTTTGGAAACGCAGTGATCAAAGCAGCGACTTGGAATCACTGTCTCCATTTTTCTGCGGACTATGTAATAGCACACTGGACAAATGCTAGGATAAAAGCCCATAAAAACATTAAACACTGGCACTTGGTACAAGGCACAAATTACATCAGCAATTAAATTTTGTACAAAAAGTTTGGAAGTTCGTCTCATTTTCATTATTATTATTTTAACTGAACATCACTGGCCAACCAAAATAAGTTTTTTTTGGACAAAAATATTAACATGACTCTTATGTTTGATTATTTGTAAATCACTGCAACTTATTTGGAAAAAAATGTTGTTATTTATGATTTTTTTAAAACTTTAAAACAGATATAAGGTTTTTATAGTGCAATTTTTATTAAAAGAAACCTAAGGTGAAATTTGACCTGAAATAAAAACCTTTTTTTCAGATGTATATGGATGTTTATTGCAGAGATGACAGAAGTCCTCCTCCCTCATTTCTCTTTGTATTAAAACATTATACAGTACTATTTTTCTCAAATCAAAGTAACTAGCAGCTATGTTTCAGTGTACCTCATTCCTCAAAAGAATCCACTTCAAATTGTACATGCATTTCTGTCACTCCATATATAAAAAAACAGACTAGTGAAAGACAAACCCTCTCTTTTGCGTTAATAGCGGGGTTTTATTTCAAGAAATGTTCCCCCATAATGATTGTTTGACAAAGTTTACGTTTAACACAGCCAATTTCTAAGGCAATGGCAAGTAATAATCTGCCTGTCTACTGCTAAATAGTTCAATCAGTATATCTCCAACCTTGGTACTCGTGGACTGTTAAGGGAATCTGAATTAAGAGCATAAAACCACCAGTACTGTTACAAAGAAAAGGTTTCCATTCATCTTATCTAGTTCATTTGGTAGTTAGAATGAGTGTCCCACAGATTTCATCCGGTCATTTCTTGAAAAAAACCAGGTTATCGGCTTCAATCACTTGGCAGGGTAGAAATTTTATGCCTCCTGCTTTGGTTTAAATAGTCTTACCCAGAGTTTCCACTTGCGTCCTCGATGTCACTTTTCACTGGTGATTCTGAAGACGTCCACTGGGTTGACAATTTTGTCACGTCCCCTCCTAATCCTCTCTGCTCAGCACTGAAATATTAATTTCTTTTAAGATCTGGAATATATCTGGTTGCTCTTCTCTGGCCAGATTCCAGAGCAGGAATATATTTTCTGTAACATGGTGAACATTGTACACAAGATCTTAAATGAGGCCTTAGAATATTGTGTACAATTTTGGCCACCAGGAATATACTCCTGTTTTGGAATCTGATTTTTGTACTTGTTAAACATGTAATTTAATTCTCGTTAGGATGAAATGTAGTTCTTTGATTTGTTTGTCAGAAAGATTGAATAGATTTTTTTGGAAAATCTGGCAAAGATATAATGAAAATGAAAAAAAATCTGTAATGCAATATAAGCTAAAAAAAATTAATACCTAAATGCTATTTTTTTTAACATTAAGACGTCCTTACTGCTCACCACACATGAGAAATAGCAAAGACAAAAACGTTTTTTTGTTGTGATTAACAGTTCAATACACCCCAAATTAAATTTGGAAATTGAAGATTAAGAGAAAAGATAAACTACCTGGCCACCTACAGATAGGGGAGAAGTTCTTCTTTCCTCAGGGCTTGTTGCTTTGTGTCCCTCTATCTGTTTTCTAGCTACTGTACATCCTTACTCACTTAATATGGGTATTTCTGAATTACCTTGTCCTCTTGGACACCCTTCAGCCAATAGGATTCAAGTTTTAAAATGTCTGTAGCTAAATCCTTGCATTCTTATATTAAACCACTAAGTACATTTAGCGGTAGGGTTTTCTCTGAACCCACTGAATATGTTTTTTAGGATATGTTTTTTCT